CTTATGTGCAAAAGTGCTATCATTGTAAAGAGGGAAACATGTCTAGAAACCCCCCCCCCCCCCCCTCCCCCGCCCCCTAAAAAATAGAGGTATTTTAAGCTTGGGTAATATGATGTACCATGACCTTGTATACTTTTAAATGTTCCTTTCGATTCTTGAAAAAAAAAAATCCTGCACACCAATCATTGTGTGATTTTTTCACGCTTTCAAACCAAATGAGTCACTCACTTTTTCTTACTAATGATAGTTTCCTTGTTCACGGGTGAAAACACTGGAGAACTTGTCGAGTTCTCCAGTGTTTAGTACTTCTTTTTTTTTATCTGTTATTACAGACAATTTACATTATTGACGATCTGACTGTGGAATAGTGCACTTATAATAACGAGACATGACAGCCCAATGGCCGACCGTACCAGCAAGAGAAGGAATTACAACTATAGGGACGGGAATTTTATTGCACTTTATGAGAATCCTAATTATCGCCTTCTAGGCGCAGCCACCTTGGCCTAAAGGGCTGTGGAACGCGTTGTGAGCATCCGTAGAAGCTCTATTTCGGGGAATATCAGAGGCCACCCTTGTGGTCACAGCCCAATGACTCGGCACTTTTAATGCGCAGCTCTTAGGCGCCCGTTTCCGGCTAGAGCGGCGTCGCCGTCGCCGTCGGCGTAACCGCGCAGTACATTATGGTAAACGTCCCATAATGCAACGCGTGGGACTCGCGACGTCACAGGTGACGTTTACGAGTGACGCCACGAGGGTCACGAGTGACGTTACGAGAGTCCCGGGCGTTGCATCATGGGTAACGTCCCACGATGCAACGCGCGGGAGTTGGGAGGAGGAGGGGAGGGTGAGGAGGGTGAGGGGGGAATTCGGAGGGGAGTGAGGAGGAGAGGTGGAGGAGGAGGAGGACAAGGGGGAGGAGGAGAAGGGAAGAGGAGGGATGAGGAGGAGAAGGGGCGGGAAGAGGAGGAGATGAGGAGCGAGGAGGGAAGATGCCAGCTACCCTTTGTGCAGGCAAGTGATATCACCACTCTTAAATAACAGAGAGGCACGTATGAAAACGTGGTGTACCTGTGTATACGCGTGTAACGGCCGCAGGTATGTTTTATGATTTCGGGCGAGAACTAGGGGTGCGGCCCCATTACACGGAGGAAAATAAAAAAGTTTTTTGGAAATCATTTTTTTTTTCGCCAAAAATTTCACTATTTGCCTTCATTAAATGAAAGTACTCACACGCCTTGGTAGAATAAGAAAACGTTTATGTGTATTGCATAGACAGGCGTGCAAAGTCCTTTTCACTCGTCCGTAGTAGATCACACATCTTCGGAACTTGTCTCGGCGTCCGGCGCCTCGGCGTCGTCGACACCGAACTTTGGCCTGGCTACTCTTTTGCTGTTGTCTTGAGCAAAGGCAATAAGTTTGAATTTAAAGCCGGCCGAGGAACTCGTGTATTTCCTCATCCAGAAGCCTGAAGTGGGTGACAGCGGGAAACCGGGGATACTCGCCAACACAAAGAGACACACTGCTTCTGGTTCGACGTTGTTCGAGGTAAAGCCGGAGGCGCAAACAGACAGGATAGAGTGCTTCAATCTTGTTGGCTGCCGCAGCCGGGATGGCGCCATCTGCCGGCAGTACTTGAAAAAAACAATGGCCGCACCTACGAGTCTAAAATCGTAGGTGCGGCCTATACACGGGTAAATTTAAAGATTTTTTTTCGGCTTTTTTGGTTTAAGGTTAGGGGTGAGGCTATTACACGAGCGCGGCCGTTACACGCGTATATAAGGTACTTGTTATCCAAGTGTCCATCTACATGGGTACGGGTCTGTGCTGCACCCTTCTGTCTCTGTGGCACGTCAGACGAAGTTGGTAAATTGTGCGCCGTCAAGGTCGACAACGGCTTGCTCTTGATAGCTCTGTATCTCTCGCCTACGGCACTCACCGAATATTTCGTGAAAGACAAAAAGAACCTCTTACCAGTCATGCAGAAAAACATCCCAATGGACCCGAGAGACGTGCAATCGCTGTTCTGCTGTGCCATCTCGGGGAAGCACGCTCAAGAGTAATGCTGAGGAAATAAAAAACGCCGAGGAGTCTTCGACAGAGCCGACAGCAAGTACGATGACGTCAAAGTGTTAACTTCAACGCTGTCCTGCTGTCCTGTTTCCTGGCAGCGGCAGAACTAGACAGAGGGGAGCTTCCACATGTGAGAAGTATACCAGGATATATATGTATATATATATGTATATCTTTCTCAGATTGTTTAGCCCGGTATATCGCAAGAACGAAATACCTTAAGAGAGGACCAGGAGGAGAGGAGATGGAGCAGATAACGAGGGGAGGAGCATTAGAGGAGGAGAGGAAGAGGAGAAGGTCCGGATGAGGAGGAGGGCCATACCCTCCCCTCAGTAACCCCCCCTCCTCCTCCTCAAGAGCTGCGCTCTAATTCGGCGTTACACGAAGTTGTAAAGATCATCCATATTTTTACCTTGGTAAGAAGCGTTGGAAAAGTCTATAGGAACAGCTTGCAACTTGTAGGAAGAGCCTACAGACTTATTATTTTTACCTCCCCTAAAACACACGTTAATTCAAGCATCGCTTTCCTTTGAAAGCGAGCAGCTAATTGTGCCCTATATAAAACAAAAATCGGCGACAAGAACATTTTATGTATTGCTGCACCAAACAAACTTCATTACTGCTCGGACATTTCTTTTTTATACAGGCGTTGTTAATGTGCATGTTTGTAACTTCAAGCAGCACCCCATGCTCATTGTCAGGTTCTTCACAGTTCTAAACAAATCGGACAACCCTCTTCAGAAGTCCATCTAGCAACATTGGCGGTTTCCAATGCATAGACACAAAGCTCGTGATTGGATCCGAGTCCTCGTCGAATGCTGACGTCACTCTCGACTCCAATAGATGCTTAGGGAACGTGATCTAGCAATGGCCGACAGGCGATGATGCGTACTTATGAGAAGGGTTTCTTCGGCTCGAGTTTTTCTTATTTTATGAACACCTGATTGTATTCGCAAGCATAAGGAGGAAAGCAATATAATAAGTATTAATGCGGAAAAAAAAAACTCGTGAAAATTTATTGTAAGAAATGAAAGAAATTTATATTCACACATGTCACAGGGTCGCATGCAGAGACTGTTATCGTCGTCTACTGTCAGTCTCTCACTCTCTTTTCTTTCAAATGTGGCCCCTCGTAAAATCTGGGGCCGTCTGTTCGACTATAGGGCTCAGTACGTCGAAATGAAGTTTTGGGGTGTATTATATGGGATAAAGGGTGTAAGAATGCACCCTTTTACACCATTTTTTCTTGAGAGGGCATAGCGTCGGCAATCCGCTTTGTTATATGGTGTTCGGGGGGTAAACGTGGGTATAAGTCTCGAGCAGTGCCCGCTGAGGGCCACAGTTGCCTTGACGTTCAATATAAAATTTTACGTCATTCCTAATTACTTTTAATTTATTCAGAGTAAATTGTCGAAATGAAAAGCTTCGACTAGGTGCGGGCGAGCTGCCGCCCGAATAGAAGGGTTCAGCCGTATCCGTTTTTCCAACAGCACCCAGAAGAAGGGCCTGAGCGTTACCCCATCGTTAGTAAATCCCTGAGCAGCCACAAGCGTCAAACGCGCTGAAACTCGACTAAAGTACGGCCCAAAGCCAGCGGCACACGCGGGTGTCTTGGTGTCGCCGCGCTTTAGCGTCGCGCTTCTTGTGAGACGCTCAAAGACCCACTGGCGTCGAACCTCGCGCGTCTCGCCCTTTGCCGCAGGGAGAACTGTAAGGTGCATGCTCGTGAGAACAACGACTTTGCCGTGACGTGCCACGGCTATCGCTGTGACTCTACTGTCGATTAACGCAGGAACGCTCCTTTTTTTTCTTCTTACCTTCTCATATCTCTCGTTGTCCTCTTTCTTGAACGCCGTCCTGACTTTCATCGGGTGTTCAATGCTCACCCCTGCTCATTTCAATATGGATGAGCATCGTAGGGGCGTCTAGTCGTGTATCGCTATGCTGCGTGATGCACGTTAAATACACCGGGCTGCACTGTACTGCACTGGCTATATTTCTCACCAACAGTGGGTAACAATGTCGCTATGTTCTGGTAGACTAACCTCCCTCTGTGTAAAAAAACCACTAACGACTAATTACTTTTCTCTTTTTGGCTTTTTCCCCGTCCCTTCCTTGTTGATTTCTTTCAGTTAAATAGTAGTCGATAGCATCAAACTCAGTGAGCATCGAGTCTGACAGAGTTTGATCAAAAAGAAAGGAAAATTAGGAAGTGGGAGACATTTCCCGCTCACCTCTCTGAAGAAAGTAATCCCCCCCCCCCCCCCCCCCCACACACACACAAAAAAAAATAAAAAAAAAAACTTATGAATGAAGGGGTTGACATGAATACCACAACGAAGAGGAAGAAAAGCTATAGAAACGAACGCACAAATGAGACAGCATTCTGCCTCAAGTTGAAGCTCGCGACGCTGCATCCTCATCTCTTCACCGCTTCTCCGAAAATTAAATAAATGACACCCGCTCGTCGGAAGAACGCATATGAGAACATCCCGAAGTTTCCGGTGACTCCCCCACAATCGGTGAAAGGGATACGCACTGCCCCACCCACACCGCCATACACGCTCTGCATCGGCGGCACGCCTTCCCTCAGTAACGGTTGAAGAATGGCCCAGCCAGGGGTCGCCCCGGCCGGAGCTCCCGCGGTCAGACGTCGCCGAGCCCTTCCCGAACCCCGCGGAACGTCGCGCAGCCGGGCGGCGCACGCCTCGGACGCTCCCCGGGGCCGGCAAGGCCATCGGCGCGCGGGGCCCCGACCGGAAAGATGGTCCGGACCCCCGAAAAGGCCGGACGCGTGCCACACGTGGCCGCCACCTCGGCCGGCGTGTCGGGCGACTGCCGCAGCGTCTGCGCGCTTCGAGGGAGAAGGGAAGGCTCCGAGCGCCGCCCATGCGTCCCCTCTCCCCTGTATAAAAGCGGCGGGGCCCCAGTTGTCGGACCGCATTCGGAGCCGGCCCCCACACAGAAGGCGCCGCCGACACCGTCCCCATGTCGACAGCCGCTCTCGCTAAACGCCTCGCGCGGCAGCTCGCGGCCGGGGTGACGTCCGCCAGCGGCGGCACCCGGCGCCGCATGCGGTCTACAGAAGCCGCCTCCGCGTGTCCCTTCCACGCCCGCTGGGCTGCCGACGCGGACAAGACCGGCGGCAGACCCGTCCCGAAGGCTGCCGGAGGAAAGCCCTACTCGTCCATACCGGCGCCGCGAGGTCTTCCGCTGCTGGGAACCGCTCTGGATGTGGCCCTAGCCGGAGGGGCACCCAAGATCCACGAGTACTGCGACCGGCGGCACCGCGAGCTTGGGCCCATTTACAAGGAAACCCTGGGTTCCGTGGAAGCCGTCTTCGTGGCCGATAGTGCGCTCATCCAGCAGGTGTACGCGAGCGAGGGCAAGTTTCCCATGCACATGGTACCCGAGGCCTGGCTCATCTACAACGAGGTCAAAGGAATTCAGCGGGGACTCTTCTTCATGTGAGTACCAGGCCGCGTGTCTCCTGCTGCCTCGGGGGTCACGGGCGCGTGGGCGCCGACTCGGCTCTGTGCGCTACCTCGGCTCGCGTCGGACACCGATGGCCACGCGCGGACTGTGCGAGGAGAGACTGACGTGCCCCGTAGAGCCTGCGGATGCCCTGGCTGCCCAATCTCTTATCTCCGGATACGCTAGATAATGACGCCGTAACGGGGAAATCACTCAGGTATCGGGGAGCTGCCATGGGAGGGATGTGGACGACGCGACCTCTTGCTCGGGGGCCGGTGCCGTACACCGACTCGGGTCTTAGAGCCGCTCTCATCTATGGTGTAGTGCTGCGGAAGTCACTGCGTTCTCGGATATGTAATTGTGTTTCTGATATAATTTCCTCGCCTTCGGTCCCTTCTGATCCCCGTTTAGCGCAAGATAAAAAAGTACGCACGCCAGCTTGTTCAAAAATGTCATAGTTTAAACCCTGAAGGAAAAAAACAAGCAAAAAAGAAAACTATACAAGAAGGGAGGGGAGCAAAAACGAAATGCAATATTACTTTTTCTCTTCTTTTTCTTTTCATTTGACTCGTCTCAGGATTTTGACGCAGATGGTTCACCGATTGTTCTTTTTGTAGCCTCACCCTTCACGAATCAAGCTTAGTATTTCTCATTCGTAGCTCTTGTGCCTTTAAAATCTCTCGACGTTTTTGAGGGAATACTTACGCGACCTGAATGCCTATCTCTCTCTTCTCCCAAATATCATCTTGACAGTTATGCTCTAGTGAGAAATCTTTGAACGAGATTGAACGCGAAGATTAATCTTTAACAGTTACCATTGTCCGCCATTCGACGCATACGTGAGCGCACTATCCTTTCCCCCCTCACTCCCGTATGTTTTGTTGGTGAACATCGCGTACATCGTTGCTGCAATCCCAGCGGCTCTGGAGTTCCAGATGTTGCTCTGACGCTTTCTGATCTCATGCCCTTGACAGTTACTGTGTTTCCCGTCGGCAAAGTTAATAGACTTTCGCAATCTGTATGTGCCTTGCCAACTCGGACACCTGCTATCAGCAGCCGTTATTTCTTATTTTCGTTACCGATCCTCCCTTCAAGTGTATATTTCCTGGTAGCCTTACTCGTCTACGGGTTGTTTCGTTTTCACTTGTCGAATAGCTTCATTTTGTTTTATCTGTCCGCCCTCATGAAGTGATGACTTTGAAAGCCGTGACGTTTCCCAATAAGATCGTTGTCGCTGTCTTGTGGCTTGTCGAGTTCACACGGTCTTGGGGACGTCAGCTCACTTCGGTGTGATACGGCTGACACTAAGACAAATATTAGCAGCGACTGTATATCGTTGTGTGCTTGATGTGCCCTAGACTTTGGACTGACAAATTTTCCATGATTGGCGCATCCAATGTTTCATGGTCACCTTGTATGCATTCCACGCTACTTTCTCAAACATTTAGCGAAGCTTGCAACGGTCAACTTGTTTGTGCGTGCCTTCTGAACCGCCTTTACTCGTACGACTTCGAACGCAAAAGTACTCGCATCATCTCGTTTGTTATTCCGGTTTCTGGTTCTTCTGCTAGGTGCAGCCCAGGACTAGCGTAGTCCAGTCACGTCCGTTGCTACTTGTTGACTGTAGAGCCACCCCTCAGCAGGTTCCCTATCTACTCTCAATAAGCTCGGCGATCTTAATTGAGTGATTCGAGCGGGTGAGCACTTTGATACGCGCGATGGGGATATAAAACACCGGAACCCATCTTCGTTGCGACGGCCCTGATTGCCGGAGGCACGACGAAGCGCCACTATCCCTCACGATCTAGATATCTTTGTTGTATATGCAAGAAGTCGCACGGCACGGGCAGGAAGAGGTATTCCCCGCTCCTGGAGTTTTGGCCAAGAGTTACGGAAATGAGGTCAAGATGACGTCAAGTTAGATAACGCACCCTCAACAAGGGTACGGCCTTGGTGACACGCGTATCAAGGTGAGAGGACGAGCGAGGCGTCGAGTGCATTGTGTATCGACGGACGGACTTCAGGGTAACGCCGATATCGAAGACAATAGACGGGTATCGGAGATTAGATCCGAATGCGTGAACGGAGCTGGTTTTTTCTTCGCCCGTGGATAGCGGTTTATACTCTGTGTGATCAAAACCTTTGCCGACGAATGTAGATCCCGTTCGACTCGCAAGCTATTGGGAATTTTTAGCATCTTGGGTATCAACGCTTTAAGCCCCCAAACAGCTTGGGGCATCGCGCTCCGCATACGGAGAACTTCTACGCTTCGACGCTCCGACGTCCCAAGTAGGTTTCGGGAACCGAAGCGTCGGGGCCCCCCTATTCTAAAAGCCTCTATTGTATGCGGGCCCCAACAAACTGTATATGGATGTTGTTTTATGAAAAGACCAAAACGCAGCGACCTCTCAGGGGCTCTAATATGGACACTTGGCGAAAAAGTCGGCGAGGAATTCGACCCCCGTGATTGGCCGGCGCCAAGGTCAAACGAGGCTCCGGCCAATCACGACTGCCGGATTCCTCCCCGACTTTTTCGCCAAGTGTCTAGAATTGAGCACCAACAATTCGGCATACAGGTGGCACGTAGTCTGAGCTCTGTTGACATAGTGACTCCTACGCAATATTTGCATTCAGGGACTTTCGTACCTCTGTTTACAATTGACATCGCAGTTGCATATAACTGTATTTAGGACAGGATCGATGCTTTGCGTTTTATGTTTTGATTATTAGCGTATTCTACATGAAAGAAACGTATCCCAGTCTCATATTATACGTACTTCGATGATTTTTTGCGTTATAGTTATCCAAATAACTTTGATCAGGGATTAGAAGACGTCACAGCCGTCCTCGTCCAGCGTGAACGGTTTTTATATATTTTTTTTGTGAAATTGTTCAAAGAGAAGTTTGTGAGGTTACGGGAAGTAAACATTAGTGATTATAAGATTGCCAAAATTAACTTCGCGTGCACCCTGCATTCACATGCGCTAGGCTTGTTGGTGTCGGTTGTTTCTGTTGGTCCTCAGCCCAGCGTGCGATCTCCTCAACCCAGCACACGCATATTCGTCGTTTCGGAAAACGAGCACATCACGCTCCATACGCACAAACACTGAAAATGTAACCGGCCAGGAGCCCCTTGTGGAAAGGTCTTTACAACGTTCATCCTTAAGCTGAGACGGCAGGTAAAGCTGCTAGCCCGCGCTGCTGGCTTTGAGACGTGCATTTTTAGCACGAGCGCTCGTTTTCCGGAAGTTTGATTTAAGGCAGCGACCTCGATCTCTCATGCTTGTGGCCTTGACTGCAGTCTCAGCATAGTGGGACTCGGGCATAACGTGCGTGTTTCCGGTCTTACAGACGAAATATCGGAAGAAATATAATAATCTCGCCACCTGAGAGGAGGTCTAATTTTCGCTGAGCTGGCTACGGCTGAGTTCTTTTGCTTCGAACTCTGCAATGCAAGTTCGGCAATTCGCTGCGTACACCTGTGCCGGACACGCAAGCACGGGACGTGCACGGGGTTTTCACGCTGTGCTCGTATGCTGTGCTTCAGCGATATCCCCTCGAGCGATATCCGTTCATTGTTATGTGATAGCTTTCGAGCACTCGTGCGCTCGCCATGCGTTCGGTACTGATCTTGTAGTTACCAACAGTGCAGCACCCCCCATTCGCGAAGTCACTTCAGATTTGGCAAAGATTAGGCACAAATTTGGCAAAAATTTGGCAAACGTCTGCGCACGCGCGAGAACGCGACGGGGCAATGAATTACAAATGGACGCCGTGTGGTCGTGCGGTTATCATCGTACACTGTAGGATTACCAGCGGTTACGGCGAGGTGCAGAGTAGCCAATATGGTAACTGTGTGTTTGTCAACCTTTCTGAGTGCGCTTCTCTCGTACATTTTCTGCCTCAAGAACAAAAGATCGACCAGGAATAGAAACAATTCACTGTGCGACTGAAAGATGATGCGGTACATTCTAGATAACGTGATTCCCATTTAATAATTCCGGTGATGCAACGAGGTAGTTGCAACGTTGACTGACAAGTACTTTAAAGCACTCGTCGCGATTATAGCAAAACTGCTTTTGGCTCACAAGTAGTTCGCGCTAAAACAAAATAATATTGCTTTTAGTTAGCGTTATTTCGCGGTTTTCATCTGCCCCCATTAAACTAAACACATAATTATGATGCTCGACGTTGCACCATCCGACATTCCTAACTCTTCCCATCTTCCTAAACGTCCGCGTGCGTCCTAATAACTAAAAAAACCGGCATTTTAGAAGTTAAAAATGAGACGTTGCGAATTTGAAACGCACACTTTCACGCGAAGCTGGTGTCAAGTGACTCAAATAAAAAAACACAGATATTTATAATAATACTGTTATCAATTCTGGTGAAGGCCCAGCAGCCGTTGCATTCGTTTTCGCGCTCGAAACGGTTACTCGCGGAGAAAGTAAGAACACAGTGTTACCGCCTTTATTTTAACTATATACACCCTTGCAGGCTTGCGCCCTGATGAGGCTTCAAAACCAAAACTCGCGCATCGTAGTTGCGCTCGCTACTACCCAACCTCGTTGTCACACCGGTTTCTGCAAAAAGTAAACGTAAAATTGCCAGTAAACACACAAAAATGACACCGATACAACTGCATTGTAGATTATCTCATTATTTAGTCATAACTAAATCAATATGCATAAAAAAAATTTTTTTTTTCTATTTCGGAAAACGAAATATAAACTTTTAAGTCTGGCAATAACGTATTTTTTCCGAATCTTTAGAAAAGTTCGTCAAGACTTCGGTTTTGCCGAATCCCAAGATTCGGACTTGAATTTTCGATTCGGCAAAAGTTGGGCCCATCACTGCTAACAAGTTATCTCTGATTTCCGCCTGATGACATTTTGTCGCCTGCCGCGATCCTGGCGGTGTAAAGTAGCGGTGATGGATGTGATACGCGCCATTTGCTGCCATTTCGGGATAATTTGTTTTTTATGTATTGGCA